GAGAAATTATGGCAAATAGAATATTTTTAGAATCCACGAATTAGTAAATTATAATTGATGGATATTTATGGAAATTGAAAGAACGATTCATCTCTCCAGAATGCCTTTTTGATTTCGATAGTTTCTCAATATTGATATATATCGTGTAGGAATCTTCGTTTTTTCTTATCATTTGAATGTCTTTCTGAGATGTCTCGTATTTGGGGGATGATGGTGGGTTTTTAAGTACGACGAGGTATCTCATAGAATTCGAAATTCTTCTTGTTGCCGTGGATATGGATTCCTTTTCATCTGTTTGGACGAAGATATCGCCCTCATGGAATATTTCATATAGGTGTTTCTAGTCCAAGGGGCTTGTTCAGGGAGGGCGCGTTTACGCGTGATGGCAACTAAAGATGCGGATCGTGATTATATCAGAATCCAGAGATTTAATTATTGTGGACAGACGTTGGATCCTTTAGGATATCATATATTTGGATCCATCATGATATTTCTATATCGGAATAAAAAACTATATATTTCCAAAAATATTAGTTAAATATGAATCCTCCTCAGAGATTCATATAAATGAGAAACGATTTCTATAATCTCCCAATGAATAAATAGAGATCAAAAAAATATCTAGATATATCATTGACATCTGATATCCAGGATCTCGGGAGATCACAAAATACCAACACGAATCCATAAGTTCTCTTCCACACATTCAAATATCCGCAACCATCCCGAATTAGAAAAGAATTGGAGACTCGTATGACGATCACAACAAATCAAGACCCCAGAAAATTGCTACGGGCCCAGCTCAACCAAATCTTGATTCATTCAAAGATCAGCGGACCGATATAAGGTCTTCTCTTATCTGATCCCATATTTCGAATTTCGATAGATTTACGATTGAGGGTCGGTCGCCATATTCGAAGGATTCGATGTTCGATTTTATTGCCCAGAATTGGTGGATCCTCATGGATATCATATCTTGGTATGTATGAGTCAAGGATGCAAGTAAATCATGTATATAATATTCCGTGATGATATTTTCCGAGTGATTAAGTAATATCATAAGATAAATCCTCAATTGGAACCCTTGTCAAATAAAATATAGATGGTTTAAAATTTCTCGTACGAAAAGTTCAATAATATATGATATGACCCTCTCTTTAGATGAATTCTGCCTCCAAAAGTCCCCAGAATCCCCAGCATAATTTCTTTCCTGACGATCCATAGGTTCGCCCAGTTAATACCTTGATCCGAGTATCACGCCAAACCAATTCTTGAGCAAGACGAAAAGTTCTCGTCTAGCATTAGATTATGAGATAGCCTCGTCTTTTATTATGCAGTCTCCAAGTATGCGGAGAGGAAGCGTTGACCAGACGTGACATGGTAAGTCGTTCATCTTGCTAGCAGCTGCCGGCAGCTAGGGAACCTACGATGGCGATCATTCGGAGAGCAAGATCCGTAAGTTTTTTGATGAATTAGTGCCCGTCGGATATCTGAAGAACGAATATCGGTGCGAATAGCATCTACGACTAAGAATATCATTGAGAAGATTCAAAGATGATATCCTAAAATTTCTGAATATATGAATAATTGGGATTGGAAATATTCCTCGATATGCCTTGCTTCATTAAAATATGACAATAGATATAGGGAGATCTTTGAGAATCTTTTTGATCCAAAATCACGAATATTCAACGGATCCAAATTATATTCTTGAATATTATTGATATTTAAAATTCATTATCGAATAGATATTCCTTGGAGATCAGGGTCATCGAAGCCCAACGAATGTTGTGGATGGGATCTTTGATGGGTTCCATTCATTCATGATTTTTTTCCTTCATTCGAAATCTTTGTAGGATGCCCCTCGCGCAGGATCATGGGTCGAGCCTATTTTCTGAATAAGATTGATGCTTATGGAGATTGAAATAACGATTCGTCTCATTAGAATTTTTTTTCGATTTCGATTCTTTATCTCAATATTGATTCATTTCATTTGGGAATCTTCGTTTTGCTTGTCTTTTTTCGTCTTTCTGAGATGCCTCGTAATTGGGAAAGATGACGAATCCTTAAGTATGTCGAGACGTCTTGGAGAATTCGATATTCTTCTTATTTTCATGCCTATGGATTCCCATTCATTTGTTTGGGGCGCATATGCCGTCGGCATGTCGATGATTGAATGCAATCGCTTATATCATACGCTATGATTTAGTATGGCAATTCAATATCTCTCAATATATTGAGGTCCGATTGGAATATCTTGATCATATTTTTATATATTCTAGTTGGTATTTTTGCGCATAAATATCGCTTGTTCCGAATTGATGATACCTCGTGATTATTAATTGGTTTTTTTGGACGTAGAAATCGCTTGCACCTTCGGAATAGATACCTCCTTTCTCAATTGGCGTTTCTGTTTCTCAATTTATATTTTTGGGAGCAGAAGTCTCTTGCACCGTTTCCAGAACTATCTCATTTTCTATTATCCGAGATATTCGTATTTAATGGGAGATTCCAGTGGATTTTCAGGGGCGAGCCCAGTAAACAAGTTCATTTTCGATATTTACTTCATGATCCTAGATAATTAATTCGAAACCGATATTGAAAAATATCAAATCTTTAGAAGATTTGATATAGTATTTAAAGCAATATTACGAATCAATGATCAGATTAATTGAGATCTTGATTCCAATCAATCGAAATATTCGTTTCTAAGATAATAAATTATTCGAAATTTGATTGGAATCCTATTATTCGATAATAGGATTTCGGAATCCCGATCTCAAACCGAAATAGAAATAATTAATATATTATATATAAATATTCCTTCCAGAAAAATATCGACGATTTTTCTACTCATCTGAGATCTGAGCAGCCGCAAAAAATCTTATGTAAATACTAAGTGGAAAGACGCCCAGTATATCGTTTTTGGGTGGTTGGGTGTGGTGGGGTGTTGTGCCTTATGCGGGGTTTGTGTGGGATTTCGGCTCAATACTATTATGAAAATCTATCGCTTTATTATTTATGAAATCCTAAATCTGGAGCCCTCCCCTAAATACACCTGAATTCCTAAACCCGTTTCCTTTCTTTAGGACCTATAGACTAAAAATTGAGAGTGCTCCTTTTCTAGGAACCAGAGCTGTCGCTGCTCGAATCAGATATCCAAATCCTAAAATTCGAATCCTCAATCTAGGCCAAGGCCTTTGCCCAACTCTTCGGGAGACCAAATGGGTATCATAAGGATATCGCTTTGAATATCATTCTAGAACAAGATATTATTACAGAACGACTATTAGATTCAATATTGAGCGTATCATTTTTAAAAGAGACCTATCATTTGCCGAGATTTTAGGAATGAGCATAGCATGTATTTCCATCATAAGAAATCTCCTGCAACATAATCATAATCATCATTCATCTCAAATGAGTATTCCAAATTTTTGTCATCGCATATACAGATAAATCGATTCGAATTAATCCAAATCATTTCTGAGATATATTTATCAAAGCATTCCATGATATTCTTTCCATAAAATTTGGCAGGCCTATATTTCCAAGCGATGCGGTCTTCCCACGATACCCCCAATCTCAAGATTCCTTTAAATGTCGTATTTAATTTCGAAAAATGATCCTTCATTTTCTAAATCGTGACAAAAATTGATCGGCCTCTTCAGAGAAAGAAATTGAAATATAACTTGGAATCCAGTCATCTTCTGTCTAATAAGCCTGTTCAACGCCCTGCAGATGTCTTGGCCGCTCTTTGCAGGCAATCTATTTGGAATCTTTTGCCGAAGGTTGCCCTTAATACCTCGATTGTCTCTCCTTTCCGGCAGTCAGCGTTGTTCTGCAAAATGTTATCGGCTGCCAACGTGCGTTTGCATGTGGCATCTTTGGCGATGACGAGCATCAGCAAGCAGCAGGTCCCGCATCACGCTTTGAAACGAGAAGTCAGAAAAGACCGAAATGCTACATATGTCCATTGCTTCTTCTGCAAGATGCACCGGACCTGCTACAGCAATAGCCATTGGGAGCATCATCCGGAACAACCTTGAGGGCAAACAGCCCCGACTGCAATGACACAGCATGGCCGTCGTCAACGGCCTGGAGAACAAATTGATGCTTGCTAACTAGCTGCTAGGCCGTATGTTTTTTTTCGGCTGCCAACGTGCGTTTGCATGTGGCATCTTTGGCGATGACGAGCATCAGCAAGCAGCAGGTCCCGCAACACGCTTTGAAAAGAGAAGTCAGAAAAGACCGAAATGCTACATATGTCCATTGTTTCTTCTGCAAGATGCACCGGACCTGCTACAGCAATAGCCATTGGGAGCATCATCCGGAACAACCTTGAGGGCAAACAGCCCCGACTGCAAAGACACAGCATGGCCGTCGTCAACGGCCTGGAGAACAAACTGATGCTTGCTAACTAGCTGCTAGGCCGTATGTTTTCGGCTGCCAACGTGCGTTTGCATGTGGCATCTTTGGCGATGACGAGCATCAGCAAGCAGCAGGTCCCGCAACACGCCTTGAAAAGAGAAGTCAGAAAAGACCGAAATGCTACATATGTCCATTGTTTCTTCTGCAAGATGCACCGGACCTGCTACAGCAATAGCCATTGGGAGCATCATCCGGAACAACCTTGAGGGCAAACAGCCCCGACTGCAAAGACACAGCATGGCCGTCGTCAACGGCCTGGAGAACAAACTGATGCTTGCTAACTAGCTGCTAGGCCGTATGTTTTCGGCTGCCAACGTGCGTTTGCATGTGGCATCTTTGGCGATGACGAGCATCAGCAAGCAGCAGGTCCCGCAACACGCTTTGAAAAGAGAAGTCAGAAAAGACCGAAATGCTACATATGTCCATTGTTTCTTCTGCAAGATGCACCGGACCTGCTACAGCAATAGCCATTAGGAGCATCATCCGGAACAACCTTGAGGGCAAACAGCCCCGACTGCAAAGACACAGCATGGCCGTCGTCAACGGCCTGGAGAACAAACTGATGCTTGCTAACTAGCTGCTAGGCCGTCCTTCCAGGCTTTGCGGAAGGACGCAACGAAGTCAGAAAGGTGTAGGAAGAAACACTCGTACGGCTCCTCCGCCGTGCAGAAGAATTGCAGCAAATCTTTGCACGCTCTGAACGCTTTGCCAGACGCGTCTTGAATGTCCGCAGTCTCGGACGACAGATTTGTCAGGAGAGTGGCAGCGCCTTCTGAAGCAGGCTGAGCAGATACCTCTTTCTGCGCAAACTCCACCTCGTGCAGAAAGGCGTGGATAGATGACTGTAGATCCACGCTCTTTTCCCTGGCCGCCGCAGGAACATGCCTCAAACTCTGTGACAGCTCGTCGACAAAGTTTGGATTTGCGCGGCGAAGAGTCACGCAAAGGAACTGCAGCATGGACATGTTGCCAACCTTGAAGCTTCTTGTCGTTGCCAGCGTCTCAATGGAGAAAGCACAAGCACCGGTGCCACCACTTCCGTGGTTTACGTAGTTGCCAACGCGAAGTATGATGGCCAACACCTTCCGAAGCTCTTGGCTGCTTCTTGCTTCCATTGCAGCAAGATGGAGGGTTTGGCACCTTTGCAAATATTCGGGCGCAGAGAGCAGCGACGCCAGACCATCAGGGTCGAAGTCGATGGCAGCACTCAGGTCTGCGAACACCGTCTCATGTTCAGGAAGTCGGTACTGTGGCTGGGCCTCTCACACTGGCCCTGCGAGGAATCTGAGAACTCTTGGCATCCACGGGGCCGGATACAAATCCGATCTTCCGGCCTCGTGGATGAGAAAATGCGAAGACAACTTGAAGGTTTGCACATCTCCCCCTCCCCCCCCCAGGAGGCGAGGCCGACATCTGCACCGGTTGTAGCTGAGGCATCCTGGGCCGCGAGGGTTTGGGGTTTTAGGGTTAGGCTTTAGGGTCTAGGGTTTAGGGTTTAGGGTTTAGGGTTTAGGGTTTAGGGGCAAGCCGAAACCTTAGCGGCAAGTTCTACAGTGCTGCTACAGCTGCATGGACGAACTGCTGTCTAAACCCTCAACGGAGAAGTCAGAGTCCTCTTCGCATTTTGGGCACCTTTTGGGGCCGCGTGCTAGTCGAAAGCCTTAGCCTTGTGACTAGTAGTTCTTGTACTTTTCTCAAGCTCATCCCATAACCTCAGAGCCCTGAACCTCAAATGTATAATATTAAGTAGTACCACGTAGTCATATAGAATGGTACATCCTAGTGTTTCATGATATGTAACCGCATCTTCTAAGACATAATAATTACATCGAGGACTCCTCTCCGCGCTGCATTCATCTTGGGACAGGGGAAGAAACAGGAGCAGAGCAGTCGGTGAACTGTTTGGGGAGTTTTGGGTTGTTGCTTCCGGCACTTTGGTGTTCACCTGCACATCTGACGGCTTTGAAATTCAATCCCCGCTTCCAGTCACTCTAAAGGCCCCAAAAAACCTTGCACATGGATAGCAACGAACGGGATTCTTCGGACTTGGGACTTGGGACAATCTCTGGCCTTTTGAGCAGAAGCGCGTCTGGCCATACTCTCGAGCGGGAATTCGCAAAGGTCGTCGAGCCCATTCCACGCGCTCCAGCTTTGACACCCCGCTCCAGGCCCTACGTTTTGAGAGGGTTGGCTTAGGCGTATGGAGACGGTGCAAGTGTAAGGATAATTTGCTGTTTGTGGATGAAGGCATGATTCTGCAAGCAAAGGCAGAAACTGGAGCCCAAACGCACAGTCTGGTTCTGGATAGGACCCATCAGAAACCGAGCTCCCAGCGCATCATCAACTTTCCACAGCAGTTCCGCAAGTTGCAACCCTGTAGAGCTTGCTGTGCGGAGGCTGCGTCGCATGGGGCACCTTGGTACCAGAACAGTCCGTGTTGTTCAGGGGTGTAGCAAGGCACTTCACCAACAGAATGGCTACCATTACGAACTCAACAGAAGGCCAGCAAATCAAGGGGAAGTTTTCCACAATCACACATAAGCCTACAACAGCTCAAGAGCATGACCTTTGTTGAAGCAGCAGTAAACGGTGAACAACCCCCACAGGGTCACGACATTCCCCTAAAACCCTAAACCTGAACCCTAACCTAACCGTACTGATTCCACTTCCCCACCAGCCACCCTCCGCCATCTTTGAGTGGCTGCCTCCACTATGTGTGCAGTTCTCTAAAGCATGGCCTCTCTGTTTGGGGACCCTGAATCTAGGCATAGTGCATAGTGCTCCGTATTTTAAGGGGCCACCCAAAGGGACAATAACCCTAAACCCTGAACCTAACCAACCCGTATGATGGTGCAGCGTCGCCCAGTCCCCCCTCCACCCCACCCCTTACAGTAGGGGATTCAGGGTTCGGGGTTTAGAGTTTAGGGTTTCGGATTTGGGGTTAGGGCGGGGGGGGATACCATGGTGGGGAGGGGGGGGGGGCCTATTGCAACGGTGGCACGGAATGGGAGTTTTGCGTATGCGCAATGGCACTCAGAATTCAAGGGCTTGGGGCTCAGGGCTTAGGAGGTTTAGGGTCTAGGGTTTGGGGTTGGGGTTTGGGGTCTGGAGTTTAGGTCGGCTTAGGGTTTAGAATCTCGCAGGCGGCCCGCGACGCCAGCTCGCGGGCGGAAAAGGCAAGATTGCATCCATATGGCCTACGCCGTCTGGCCTGCAATGTAACATTTGAGCCCTGGAGGAGGCGCTTGAGGATAATGAATAATGAAGCTAGAGGCATCGTTTGCGATTGCTTTGGGGTTTGATGGATACAGAGCTTGGATTCGTGCACCGAAGGATTGAGAGGTCCGGAGACGGAAACGCGCATCCATACAGCACACCCCGATGATGCACTTTGCCAGCAGTCACGCGCCCTTGGTATCCGAAAACACGAAGCCGCTGCGGGTCTTCGCGACATGCCTGAAGCTCGACGGACTCGATCCAGTTTATCTCCCCGGAACTGCCCAGAACCTTCTCTTCGAAGTTTGTTTGCTTCGGTTGGGCGCCGACAGTATCGCCGGTTTTGATGCGCGTCAGAGTTGAATTGGCCACAAGCTTTCCCAGCCCTCTTCCGTCAGCTGAGTAGGCTTTCTAGGCTCCTGGAATGCTGCCAACGAACAAAACGTAATTTTGTGTTGCCATTCCCTGTCCGAGGTCGTCCATCGACCGTCCTCTGCTGGAGCTGCCAACGTTTCGCATCTCTAGCAACTGCGGCCCATCGTGTACAGCCCGGGAAGCCTCAGCAGCCGGATCGTCGAGAAATGGGTTCCTTTATGCCACGCCTTAGGTCCTTCCTGGTCCTACGTCGGATGTTTCTTCTTGGACATTGGTAATCAGTTTTATTTTTATAAAACAAGCAAAACTCGAAGTAAGGGCCCTATGTTGGAATCTTCATATCATACCTTAGGGTAGAAGTCCCTAGCAAAGTGTAGTCAGAGTCGAATCTAATCTTGTATGTCAACAGATGGACTGTCAGAACCAATTGAGCCCGCCATGGTGAATCGCATAAATCACATAAACATTATCTTCAGCATTCCTTCCATGAGTTTCCACGAGGCTCGCTGAAGCATCCGGCGTCACTGTCTTGCTTTCTCTTGATGACGGCTCAAGGCGCCTGAGAACGATTGCAAGGCGCAATTAGAGTGACTTCTCCTGCCCGCCTGAAATCCAAGCACCCATGGCACTTGCTGGGTCTCGGGTTGCCATGGCCATGCTGCTCGGAACTGTGGCCGTCAGGGGTTCTCGAGAGTGTCCTTCTGAGGCCCCATGCTTTTGGTGGTATGAAGGCCCCCAGTCCTTGGACAAGTTCGACGTTTGGGCCTCGGCGAAGTACGGGAACATGCTTGCTTACGGTGGTATGGTTGCTTGCCACTGGGACGCAACAAACCGGTGCTGCAGGCAAGATGGAGTTCCAAGCCCACCGTTTGCACTTTCGGATGGAGAAGGCTTTGCAACATGCCACAATGACATCATCTATCGTGACGACGGCAGCTTCAAGTACTGTGGGGATAGTGACTTCTCTTCCGCGGTGCTGCCGGTCAGCTGTGGCACAAGGACCACCGAAACAACTTCCACCACGACGACGGTTCTAGCAGACTGGCTGCCAGTGACTGTATGGGAGAATCAAGCCTGCAGCGGGTCCAATGATGACTTTCTGGTCAGTGTTGCTCCTGGACTGGAGGCCTGCAAAGCGCGGTGCGTTGCCATGTCGCCCTTCTGCAAGGGTGTTGAATACACCTCGGCCACCAAACGATGTGAGCTCTGGACTCCACATGAAGGCATCCAAAGAACCTATGGTGCAGCAGGCACCGTTTGCCTCAAGCATCTTACTTCGCCTTTGGTGGAACTTTAACTTTTTCGGTTTCCTTATGTAGTTGGAATATTAAAGTTTAACGTTCTTAACCCCCTTGGTTATTGGAGAAGTAAGGTACACCCTTGCACCCGTCTTCTCGCCCTTGGAAGGAGGGATCGACCGCGCATGCCGAGGGGCAACGCCGACGGACAATCCGCCTGAGAACTACATTGTTGTTGAGGCGTCCTCGTTACAAGAGTGCCAGGAGACATGTGCCAAGTGGCAGGGGTGCAAAGGTGTGGAGTACAACTTCTACACGCGATGTGAGATTTGGACACGTGCCCAAGGCATCCAGGCTGTCCAGTATGTTCCAGGCCACACATGCATGAACTACACGGATGGAGGTTGGACGCAGTCTGGCATGAAGTCCTTTCAGCCTCCTCTCTATCCATGAGCTAAACGTTTTTGGGGGCAGCCTGGAAAAGGCGATGCTGATCTTTTCCAGCAACTAGCAGCAATTGCAGGCGAGCAAGGCAGAACTGCGGCGGGGAAGCATCAGGAGTAGCAACAGCAGTCCTCGTCGAGTAGCAGTTGTAGGAGGTAGAAGCGTGCGTTTTTGGCATGCATGCTTAGAGCAACACGGTCGTAACCATCCGCTCCAGCCAAGCACATTCTCGGAATTGCAAAACGGAAGGGTAAGAAGCAAAAGACTGATCTCGAGGCTTTTGTTGAAAATTGGCAAAACCTATGAGGTTTGAAGGGGGTAACGTACGGGAAAGCGTAGCATCAATTAGGAGACAACCCCCGAGTAGTAGTAAAAGCAGCTGGTGTTGTACTAGCAGTGGCAGTCGGAGTAGCAGCACGACTCACTTGATGGAAGGACTCCTAGCAACAAGACAACCCAAGAGGTCAGCAGAGGCCAACACAGGTTGCCCTTCAGTCCACAACCGCACGCGGTCTCCAATTGAACAGCTTGCTGGAGCCTTGAAGGCCCAGTAATACAGGACAGCTGTTTTGCTGGGGAGTGCGGCGGTGAATGCCTGATGTTTTGAAGCGCGCTGGTTTCTCCTTTCCGCTCGAGCACTGTTACTAAGACTGGACGATGCGCACATATATTACAGAATCCTGAAACCGTTTCCACCTGACAACCCGTACGCAATCTTGTCAAAAACTGCCCAAATGCCCAACAGGCTAGCTGTCTTTGACCGTGGATCTTGCTTACTTGTAGGCGGAAAGGAATAGAACGCATTGATCAGTGCCGTGATGGTTTGGAGTACACGCCTCTAT